TGAACTCACAGAATGTAAGATTGTAACCTGAGCCAAGTCAGATACTCAACCAGCTGAGCCACCCAGGTGTCCCTGGGTGATTTTTCTAAAACAAAACTTTGAATGGCTTCTCAATGACCACGAGAAAGAGTCCAAATTCCACAGTTTAGCACACTAATCCTTCCCAGTCCAGCCCCAGACTTGTGCTTGTACTTGTGTTTTGTCTTGGCGATGATGGCAGTGCTGGGAATGAAAGGCATTGGGGTAGATTTGGGGGTGTTCTCGATGATGGGAATTTTTAAAAAATTTTTTGCTAATATGTATTTACTTTTGTGTGTGAGAGAGAGAGAGACAGAGCACGAACATGGGAGGGGCAGAGAGAGAGGGAGATGCAGAATCCCTAGAATCTGAGCTTTCAGCACAGAGCCCAACATGGGGCTCGAATCCACAAACCACAAGATCAGGACCTGAGCCAAAGTCAGACACAACCGACTGAGCCACCCAGGTGCCCCAAGATGATGGGAATTTTGAGGAATCTCTTTGGAAACTTGAGAGAGAATCAATTAGACATGAATATACAGGCTACTTGAAACAGGAAATTCTAGCTGAGAGTATTAGTGATCAATATGGTAATGTGACCATAACCAACAATCCTTAGAGGACTGGGAATAGAAAGATAATTTTTTGATTAATTCTGCAATGGAGGTTAGCAAGCCAGACATGGCAGAAAGTCAAGGAAAGTACTCTGGAGGCCTGGGGAAGAGGTGGGTGGAACATCACCCCGTCTGGGTAGGATGGTGAGTACAGCTCAGGGATGTATTACCCAAATTGCCTGGGAGGATACAAGAAGGGTCAGCAGTCTAGGGGTTTGAAAGCCTAGGGGGCTGTGGTCAAAATAATATAATTTTTGGAGTCCCGGATCTTGGAAGCGGAACAGTTCTTGATGATTTGAGGTCAAAGTTATGCCATCCATGTGAGTTCCTGAAGTAGAAGAGAGATTAGAATCCAAAGAGTTAATGAGTTCAGTTCAAAGTGTTGGGATTATAATTACATTAGCTATATGGGAAGGTAGGGCTAGAAGGAAGAACAGTGTTAGAAAAGGCTTAGAGATAAAAAAAAAAAAATCCTGATTTATTTTGGAAACGATATGGACCCAACTGCCACAGAACTCAGAGGTAGGTTATATTGTAAGGAAGGGAAGATGAAGGTCCAAATGTAGTTGGAGCCTTCAACACTAGATTGGAAGATTGAAGAAAGATGGTATGAGGACAGAACACTGGCCCACTCACTGGCCAGGTGACCTAGCTCTTCAGCCCTGTTTTCATAAGTGTAAACCAAAAGACTTAGAGTAGATGGTTGAGTGTCAGTTATCAAACCCTTTGATATAATGAAAATTTAAGAGGCAGCTGAATGTGTCAGGTAAGGCAATACAAGTAGAACTTCTCAAAGTGTGGCCCACAGACCAGCACCATCACTGTCACCTGGAACTTTCCTCAGACCTCTGGGATCTGAACCTCTCTGGCTGAGACCCAGGAATCTGTATTTTAACAGAGGGGGTCATTCTGAAGCATGTTACTTTCCAAAGCACTGATCTTAGGGTTAAATCATCTCTGAGGTCCTTTTTACTCCTAAAATCCAACACCCTCAATATACTCTGTACAAGGCCAGAAACCTATAAATGTTTGATCAAGGAGTTTAGTGATCAAATTGGGGTCTGTGGAAGATAATTTTGAGAAAGGAGAAGAAGGAAAAATGGGAAAAGCAGTGCTGGTTTCAAGGACTTTGCCTCCATTCAGGTTAGGAAGGAGGAGCCTAGAGCAGGCAATTGGTAATACAAGACCACCATCCAAGAGTAAAAACTCTTCATGAGGTCGATCCTAGCCTAACTTTCAGAGGTTATGTAACAACTTCAGCAGATGTAATACCTAAGAAAATCTCTAAATGTGTTTCTACATCAATATTATTATTAGAGGTATTGTTTTTCTAAAACAGTTATTTTTTAGATAATCAAGTAAATTGAGTCATTCCCATGTAACAACATGACAGAAGTATGTTAATCTACTTATATTGTTTGCCATAATTGAGTTAATCTCTTCCTACCAGCTTTCCTAAAGTAGGATTCTTTTTTTTTAAATTAAGTTTTGTGTACAAGATAGCGATTCAACACTTTCATAGAACACCAAGTGCTCATCACAGTAAGTGCCCTCCTTAACCCCCATCACCTATTTCACCCATCTCCTCACCCACTTCCCCTCTGGTAACCATTAGGTTGTTCTCTGTAGTTAAGAGTCTGTTTCTTTGTTTATCTCTCTCTTTTTTTTCCCCTTTGCTCATTTGTTTTGTTTCTTAAATTCCACATATGAGTGAAATCATATGGCACTTGCCTTTGTCTGACTGACTTATTTTGCTTAGAATTGTACTCTCTAGCTCCATCCATGTTGTTGCCAGTGGCAAGATTTCATTCCTTTTTATGGCTGAGTAATATTCCATTGTATATATACCACATCTTCTTTATCCATCCATCAGTTGATAGACACTTGAGCTGCTTCCATAATATGGCTATTGTAAATAATGCTGCAATAAACATCAGGGTGCATGTGTCTCTTTGAACTAGTGGGTTTTTTTTTTTTTAATTTTTGGGTAAACACCCAGTAATATGATTACTGGATCGGTAAGGTAGCTCTATTTTTAACTTTTTGAGGCATCTCTATGTTATTTTCCACAGTGGCTGCACCAGTTTGCATTCCCACCAACAGTGATGAGGGTTCCCTTTTCTCCACATCCTTGCCAACACTTGTTTCTTATGTTGTTGATTTTAGTCATTCTGACAGAATGAGTAAATGTGAGTTTTGATTGGCATTTTCCTGATGATAAGTGATGTGGAACATCTTTTCATGTGCCTGTTGGCCATCTGGATGTCTTCTTTGGCCAAATGTCTGTTCATGTCTTCTGCCCATTTTGTAAATGGCTTATTTGGTTTTGGGGTGTTGAATTACATCAATTCTTTTCATATGTTGGATTCTAATCCTTTATAAGATACATCATTTGCAAATATCTTCTCCCATTCTGTAGGTTGCCTTTTAGTTTTGTTGATTCCTTTAATGTGCAGAAACTTTTTATTTTGATAAAATAATTTTTATAGTCCCAATAGTTCATTTTTGCTTTTAGTTCCCTTGCCTCAGGACACATATCTAGAAAAATGTTGCTTTGACCAATGTCAGAGAAATTACTGCCTGTGCTTTCTTCTAGGATTTTTAAAGTTTCAGTTTTCACATTTAGGTCTTTAATCCCTTTTGAGTTTATTTTTGTGTATGATGAAATAAAATGGTCTAGTTTCACTCTTTTGCATGTTGCTGTCCAGTTTACACAACACCATTTGTTGAGGAGACTGTCTTTTTCCCATTGGATATTCTTTCCTGCTTTGTTAAAGATTAATTGCCCACATAATTGTGGGCTTATGTCCAGGTTTTTTATTCTGTTACATTTTCTGTATGTCTGTTTTTGTGCCAATACCATACAGCTTTGATTACTACAGTTTTATAATATAAGTTGCTGTTTGGAATTGTGATACCTCCAGTTTTGCTTTTCTTTTTCAAGGTTGTTTTGGCTATTTGAGATCTTTTGTGGTTCCATACAAATTTAAGGATTCTTTGTTCTAGTTCTATGAAAACTGCTATTGCTATTTTGATAGGGTTTGCATTAAATATGTAGATTGCTTTGAGTAGTATAGATATTTTAACAATATTTGTTCTTCCAATCCATGAGCATGGAATGTCTATTTCTTTGTGTTATCTTCAATTTCTTTCATCAGTGTTTTATAGTTTGGAGTATAGGTCTTTTACCTCTTTGGTTAAGTTTATTCCTATGTATTTTACTGTTTTTGGTGCAATTGCAAATGGGATTGTCTTCTTAATTTTTCTTTCTGTGGCTTCATTATTAGTGTATAGAAATGCAGCATATTTCTTTTGTATCCTGTGATTTTACTGAATTCGCTTACGAGTTCTCATAGCTTTTGGGAGGGGTCTTTTGGGTATTCTTTTTTTTCTCTTTTTTTCTTTCTTCCCATTGTTTTTCCTTGAGAGAGTGTGCATGAGAGCGTGAGTGGGGAGGGACAGAGGGAGAGAATTTGAAGCAGGAGCCACCCCCAGTGTGGAGCCTGACATAGAGCTTGATCTGGCAACAATGCAATCATGACCTGAGTCTGATGCTTAAATGACTGAGCCACCTAGGTGCCCCTTTTGGGTTGTCTATATATAGTATCATGTCATCTGAAAATAGTGAAAGTTATATTTCTAACTTACCAATTGGGATGCTTTTATTTCTTTTTGTTGTCTGATTGTTGTAGCTAGGACTTCCAGTACTATGCTGAATAAAAATGGTGACAGTGGCCATCCTTGTCTTATTCCTGACCTTAGAGTGAAAGGTCTCAGTTTCCCTAATTGAACATGATGTTTGCTGTGGGTTTTTCATAGAATGCCTTTATTATATTAGGGTATGTTCCCTCTAAACGCACTTGGGTTTTTATCATGAATGGATGTTATACTTCATCAGACACTTTTTCTGCATATACTGAAATGATGGTATGTTTTTTATCCTTTCTCTTATTGGTATGATATATCATTTGATTTACTTGAAGCAGGATTCCTTTAGAACGCGGAGTTCTAACCTGCAAGGCCCTCCAGGGGTTTTCTCAGTCTCCATACCATACCATGAGGAGCAGTGGAATGCCACCTGACTTTACCTGGGAATGTGGATTTCAAGCCAACATATTTGCAACATTACTGTTAATTAATTGTTTAATTGATCAGGTATATTGGGTGCTTACTATGTTCAGTCAGTGTGTCTGTTGCTGGAGAACAAAGATGAGGAAGAAAAAATACCCTTAGAACCCTAAGTCAAGCTGATACAACAGAAAAGAATATTTTGTACATATGATACACGTATGCATGGAATATTAAACACAGAGGAACTATGCCCAAATCAGTTGTGGGTGGTTAGGAAAGGCATGAAAGAAGGCCTCAGTGCTTGCTTCAGCAGCACATATCCTAAAATTGGAGGGATACAGAGAAGATTAGCATAGTGCCTGCACAAGGATGGCATGTAAATTCGTAAGCATTTTATATATATATATAAATTTATATATATTTATATATATTTATTTATATATATTTTATATATAATATATATTATTTATATATAATATATATATTTATATATTTATATATTTATATATATTTATAAATTTTATATATAATATAAATTTTATATATAATTTATATATAAATTTTATATATAATTTTATATATAATTTATATATAAATTTTATATATAATTTTATATATAAATTATATATAAATATGTATATATTTATATATTTTTTTATATTTTATTTTATATATAAATTATATATTTTATTTTATATATATAAATTATATATATAAAATATATGTATATATTATATATATAATTTTAATATATAAATTTTATATATAATATAAAAGAACACCTCATTGAAGTTGGAATATATTTTAAACATATAACTTTGAGAAAGAGAGAAACATATATTTGGGAACTAAGGTTTATCAGATTTTTTCTTATTGGTGACATTTTATCTACATGTGCAATGTCCACATTTGAAGCTAAGTGAGTATTTCCTATTTCTTAGCTGTAGATGTTGTTCATTGGGAGATGCAGAAATGATTTGAAATCCATTTTGGTCCCTTTATAGGATTCTTTTTTTCCTAATGGGGGTGGTGACTATGTTGGCATACATTCCCGTGCTATCTACTTAATATGAACAATCATGTTAGGAAAAATGTTTGAGAAAATCCTATACATCCAGAAACTCACCTACTGAAGGTCATAGGCCAAATTATTGTATATCAAAATGCCATAGCAACTTTAGACCCAACACTTGGCTTGTATTATCATTTCCTGTAATGAGTGAGCAGGGAATTATTTGGATGACAGGCTGATTACTTTAGGAATGGAATAATTTCCTAAATTGTGGGTCAGAAGTTGACCTTTTCTTTTTCTTTCTTTCTTTTTTTTTAAATTTTCAAACAATTGGGATCTTGCTGTTTTTTCTCCTTTCTACTGATCATATAAATGAGCTTAAAGTGACTATAATTCTACTAAGTGTATTAATTTTCATACCAATTCTCCCTGTTGCCTTAATCGGGTTTTGTCTGCCTTAATAAGACCCTCAAAACATAGCTGGGTCTGTGGTTTTTGTTATCTGTTTTACAAAATGAGTTTTGAGTATGTTAGATTTTTTTTTCTTTTTCTGTGTGTATTCTGACCTTAAAAGGTCACAGTGTGTTTGAAAAGGAGAGACTGTGATCTCACCCATTGGAATGGTTTGTCATCATTTTAGTTTTAAAGAACCACAAATTCATCTTCAAGCTATGTGTCCACCTTAATCCATATTAGGTGAAATTGTCCCGCTTGTTGGAAATGCCACACACAAAGTGTGACCAGATGTATCATAGAGAAGATCTGAGCCAAACACTTTACAAACAGGGGGTGCTGCAGCAAATTCATCCAAGTAGCTCTTTTCAATTCATCCATTTTCAAAATGTCTTCCCTAAATGCTAGCAGTGTGGAATGCACCTGTTCCTGGGCTTTTGTTCAAAATAATGTTTGGACTCTGGTTTCTCTTCAGATCGAATATATCTTTCGCCTTTTACAAAATAATGTTTGGGCCTGAGGGAGCTGGTCTGTGGCACAAAGGGTCTTTAGATGAGCAGAGGCCCAGGAAATTTTCTTAGCTCCATAACTGAAGGCATTCTCTCCCAAGTTGCTGAAGAGAAGGAGGAGGAAGAGGAGGAAGGGGAGAAAAAGCAACTTCTTCACCATGTAGTGCCAGGTGCAGCATAAATAAAGCAGCAAGTTGCTTTAAATCTTTCTTAAGATAATGGAACAATAGCTGAGGTTAGGATTATTATCACAGAGCTCAGATATGGACAGAACTTAGTGTTGCTTTTAAAAGAATTAAATTGCACGCTGCAGACATAAGTACCATATGCTGTTAAAACTTTGCAGATACCTGAGTGTTGCCCACAAGGAGACTTGCTGGCTAAGGCGGTTGATAGATGGGATAATGGAGCCTTTAATAGCTATATTGCTAAATCCTTTCCATCCCGAGTTGGTAGTGACTCAAAGTAGTTTAGTCCTTCAGATGGAAAATTGATCCTCTGCGATGTGAATACCCTCTTCTTCCCCAAGCTTTCTTCCTAGCTGTCTGTCTCGAAACAACAACAACAACAAAAGATCTGTCCTTTTTTCCACTTTTCTGTCTGGGACTTTTAATGGCTCCTCTTCCCTTTTTAGGGTTTTGTCTGCTTTAATTAGAGAGCCAATATACAGTACAGATTGCCTTCCCTGTACATAGAGAGTTTGAGAATATGATCCATATCTTTTTGTTTTTCATCTTTCCTTTTCTTCTGTCATTTCCTTATAGTAAGTCTCCATGCCTTGACTCGAAAAATGCCTTCTTGGCTAATAGCTTTGCAGTTCAATTGGGTGGAAATCACCTCCCTTGGAAACCAACCTGGAGAAAACCATTCCTACAAGCAAACAGGGAACCTTCACTCATGGCAAAAGTGTCTGCACTGCTGCAAAGTAGACCCCTTTCTTCTAGCTCCAGGGACCCATCCCCCAGCCGAAGGCTCCTTGACCCATGGGCCATGCTACTGCCAGAGACCTCAGGTACCAGAAATCAATGAAGCTGCCTTTGGTCATCATTAGCACATGACACCAGAGGGCTAGCTTGTCTTTAAAACTATAATTTTCAGTGTACCTGCTGTTTAGGGAGGGGGAGAAATAGATCCAGACATTGGTTGAGAAAGATGAGAGAGAGACAAATGGTGTGTAAAAACCAAACATGTATTTATGAAAACTTTATGAGGGAAACTGGTTTGCTCTGCACATTTTTCAAGCATTACTCACATCATTAGTAGCAATTAGGCTTTTCAACATTCAGAACCCACAAGAGTTCGATCAATAGTTGTAAAAGTATCTTGTGTGATGGGGTAGAGGTGGAGGGCTCTAAAGACAGGATCTATAGATAAAAGCTAACTTTTGATTGAAAGCTGTAAATGAGTCTACTGTAGAAAATAATTACCAAGATTAGCAGTTGCCACTTTTTTTAAGTTTATTTGAGGAAGAGAGAGAATCCCAAGCAGGCTCTGTGCTGTTAGTGCAGAGCCCAACTCGAGGCTCAATCCATGAACTTTGAGATCATGACCTGGGCCAAAACCGAGTTGGATGCTTAACTGACTGAGCCACCCAGGTGCCCTAGGAGTTGCCACTTTTAAACAGAGTGAACAGTTTACACTGTTTACATGATTCAATAGCATAAAAGTCTTCCTACCCTCTACCAACTCTTTAAACTGCCATTTTATCAGAATGTGGAATTTATATTAGGGTTACAGCAAGTTTGAATTGCTAACATAGGAATTCCAAATCTCAGGTGGATGTGTGTCCTTTTAGTTATTGTTGCAATCATCATCTTCATCATCACTTTTCCTTTGATGTAGTTGAACTTATATCTTATTTTTGTTTTCCATTCGTGACCTTGAACATATGTGAAAATTTGAAAATTTTATTATTCATTTTTGAGTAGAAAACTCCCTCAAAAGTATCATTTGTAAGAATAGTAGATATATGTGTGTATATGTGAAGACATACAGGTGCACACACACATTGCTTACACACTACTTTATTTATATGAAGAAAAATTAGAGTATTTAAAAATTATTTTCTACAAATGCTAATAAAACAGTAATTAATTTTACTTCATAAGTGACATATGCACTCATGTATTAAGCTCTAAAAGTCTTACAATATTGCCTAACTCTGGTACTAAAACTTTGTATGCTATATATTTATTTTTGTTCTTTCTTTAGTCTATTAACAGTTTTGGTTTTATATTTTTATTTTGGAAAAATAAGAATGATTTTATTTAACTTAGAAAAATGCTTAGTTAATGAAATTTAGTGAAAACACTATGTAGATGATATTTTTAATAATTTCTTTCACACTAGTAAGTAATAGCCAAATTGTGTAGCTTTCCCAAACTTTATATGTTTTTTTATTGTATAAATACTGTCTCTCTATAATCATGATAAAGACCAAAACTTTGCAGTTCATTTACAAAAGCAACATGCATAGTTTTCACCTGTGGTTTTAAACATAAGCAATGAAGAAATTTACATATCATGGCCCTCCGATGTACTGTGTAATAGATAACCATGTATTTATTTCTATTTACAACCTCTACATCATTACGGCCCTGGCAGCCTTGGCTATTTTTTTACTTAAAAGGTCATTGCTTGTCACAAATTTCATCATAAACAAGGCCGGGTCATTTGTGATTTGTACTCTTAAAACAGAGCTATTGCTTTATTGTCTGGCAGATACCCAGAATTCATATTTTTTTAATTTTGTTAATATTTATTTATTTTTGAGTGAGAGAGAGGCAGAAAGAGACAGAGAGAGAGGGAGACACAGCATCCAAAGCAGGCTCCAGGCTCTGAGTTGTCAGCACAGAGCCCAATGTGGGGCTCGAACCCACCAACCATGAGATCATGACCTTAGCCAAAGTTGGACACTTAACAGACTGAGCCACCCAGGCGCCCCTTCATCTCCAGAATTATTACAATTATAATTTACCTGTGTGTCTCCCTGTATACATGTTACTTTGTTGTTGTAGCTCACAATGCTGTTTTATTTGAAAACATGCACTTTTCTCTGGGGTTACAAATTACCTTTCTTCATTTCTTTATTTTTATTATTTTGGACTCCAGATATACTATTCTATTCCTGCCATAGAGGTGGAAACTACCGTATTTTAAAGTTGGGATTGTCGATTATAATACTGCTCCCACAATTTACATTTTTATGAAATCATCATTGAAATCATTAATCAAGTTATTTTTTTATTTGGGCCAAGTGTAAAACTTGCCAGGATAAACTTACATCCTTGCTCTCGACTAGTCATGTATACAATCTTCCTTGAAATCTGTGGCTCAGTAACATTTCATCTTAAAAATAAGGGTGATTCTTCTTAAGAACCTACCTTTCTGCATGCTTTGAAAAGAGAAATGGAATAAAAGTCATCATAGTG